GGTCAGCCGGGGTGCAGCCCAGGACAGGGCACAGAGCAGACCCTGTGCGCTCCCATCTGCCGCCCAAGGAAAGAAAACATTCCTGGGATACACCCTGCGCCCGGGGAAGGGCCCGGAGGCAGTGGGGAATCATCACCACAGCGGGATTGGGGCAGGTCCTCGATGCCCCCACCTCTCCCACAGCCCCAGGGGGCTCGGTGTGACCCGGCTCTGGGTGCCCACCGTGCTGTCAGGGCCACGGGGAGGAGGACAGACATGGGGCAGGGGAGCTACAGCCTGAGGGAAGGCAGGAGCAGCGGTTAGGACAAGAAATTACGGGTTTAGGTTGCCCAGAGGGAGATGGGAGTGCAGGAGAGCCACGCTACCAGCACGGAGAGCAAAGCACCGCACCGTGCCACTGGCATCACCGTGCCCTGCCAACGGGTCTCACCAGGACCTGCAGGGGCACCAACAGGGAAGGCAGACACATCAGTGACCCGGGGTTGTCCCCCAACCCCGCTTTCCACAAAAACACAGCCGTGAAACACATGGGATAACTCCAAAGGCTCAGCCCAGCTCCTGCCCCTGGGGAGCTCAGCCCTCCCTGCAGATCCCGGGACAGAAAAAGCAGCCGGGAAACGTATCATTTTCTGCTGGGCTGCAGCTTTGTACAACAAGCCATAATGGCAGGCTGGGCCCTCCCGGGGCAGGCAGGGATCCCCGCCGGAGAACGTGCTTCTAATTAGGCAGCGTGTCCCACAGCCGCCCATGGCAGCCCCGTGGTGGGAGCACACGATGCTCCCACAGACACAGGGAGGGGGACAAGGGCTGCCAACAGCCCCCCAAACCCGGCAGCAGCAAGAAGGGGGGAGCTCAGGGCAGCAGCATCCTCCTCCCCACCGCCCTGGGGGATGCCCAGCAGGGATGGTGCAGCCCTGGGGAGATGTGGGGCAAGCCACCGAGCCGACACCGTGTCCTCCTCCTTGCTGACTTCCCTGCCATGGCCCTCTCTGCAAGAAATTCCACAAGCACCTGCCAAAGCCCGCAGGTCCCACACCCTGACCCCGGGCAAACACGGGCCCTCGCATGGCCGATTTGTCCTTGGAGAGCAGAGGGGATTGCCAAACACACCAACCCCCCGGGCTACGCACGGGGACGGTGGGGACAGAGCACCTAACTCCTCAGCTGTGCTGGGAATCCCAGCCCCAGGACAAGTGTAGCTTCAGGAAAAAGTCCAAACTCATCAGGAGCTGTCACATGTGGCCGGAGCCCAGGGCAGAGCCTGGCACAGGACACTGTTCCCTGTAGGAAGTGGCTGGGGACTCAGCCGGGGGACAATCCCGAGGCTGGAGCCTGGGAAGACGTGGGGCAGAAGTTGGGGGACAAGAGGAAAGGGCAGGTGGGGCTGGGACCAGCGCCGGGGCAGGAAGCTGGCATCGGAAACGCCGGGCTCACCAGCCGGTGCCGTCAGCCCGGGCGCTCCCCACGGGCACCGCCGCTGCCAGGAAAGGTGCTGTCAATGGGGTTTTATTTGGCTTGTTAGTTATTTGAGGTTGGTTTGTTGGGTTTTTTTATTATTATTATTTTTCAGACTTCCTCACCTCATGGAATAAATGATTCAAGGCGCAGCTCCCCGCGTGCCCAGGCTCGCCCGCGCGGCCCCGGCTCCAGCATCCAACACAAACTCTCCCGCCCGCTCCTGCCTCTCCCCAGCTTCCCACCACGTTCCCTCCCAGCCAGACCCAGTCCCCCCAGTTAGTGCCCCAGCTCCAGCCCCATCAGAGGGGCAGGGACGCTGGCACCGACACCGGGACGTGCCGTGGGTGGGCATCAGGGAGGATGCCCCTATTAGGGGGTGGTGCAGACTTCACCACATGAAAGTGTTCCTCAAACCAAAGCGTGAAGGGCTCCAGGTGGGAGTGAATCACTGAAACCACATCGTGTTCACGTTCAGCCCTGGTGGAAACGCTCATCCCGAGCGAAGCAGCCACCTCCCAAAGGAAACCACACCCCGGGGGCCATGCTCACCTGGGTGAGGGCCATGAACTTGGTCCAACGGATGAGCTTCAAAGCTGTTGGTAACCCCTTTCCAAAGGGAACACACCCAGCACCTCACCCTTGGAGCAGTGAGCCCCCACATTGACCAGACAGGTCAGGACCCCCAGTGGTGCCACGGGGAGGCCATGGGGCTGTACATCCTGCAGTCCTGTCCTGTCCTGAGGGCTCCATCCTGCCCCGAAGGCTCCATCCTCCCTGGGCCCCTGTGTCCTGTCCCGGGGGCTCCATCCTCCAGTGACCAGACAGGTCAGGACCCCCAGTGGTGCCACGGGGAGGCCATGGGTGAACTTGGTCCAACGGATGAGCTTCAAAGCCGTTGGTAACCCCTTCCCAAAGGGAACGTACCCAACACCTCACCCTTGGAGCAGTGAGTCCCCACAGTGACCAGACAGGTCAGGACCCCCAGTGGTGCCACGGGGAGGCCATGGGGCTGTACATCCTGCAGTCCTGTCCTGTCCCGAGGGCTCCATCCTGCCCCAAAGGCTCCATCCCACCTGAGTCCCTGTGTCCTGTCCCGGTGGCTCCATCCTGCTCCAGGGCCTCCATCCTATCCCAGTCCTTGTGTCCTGCCCAGGGGGGTCCATCCTGCCCTGGGGGCTCCATCCTACCGTGGTCCTTGTGTCCCGCCCCGGGGGCTCCATCCTACCCTGGTCCCCATGTCCTGCCCTGGGGGCTCCATCCTACCCTGGTCCCCGTGCCCTGTCCCGGGGGCTCCATTCTATCCTGGTCCCCCTGTCCCTGTGTCATGCCCCAGGGGCTCCATCCTCCCCTGGGGGCTCCATCCTATCCTGGTCCCCATGTCCTGCCCCAGGGGCTCCATCCTGCCCTGGTCCCCATGTTCTGTCCCGGGGACTCCATCCTCCCCCGGGGACTCCATCCTTCTCCATCCTGCCCTGGGGGCTCCATCCTACCCCGGTCCCTGTGTCCTGCCCAGGGGGCTCCATCCTGCCTGGGGGACTCCATCCTATCCTGGTCCCCATGCCCTGTCCCGGGGGCTCCATCCTGCCTGGGGACTCACTCCATCCTGCCCTGGTCCCCATCTTCTGCCCAGGGGGCTCCATCCTCCCCTGGGGACTCCATCCTCTCCCGGTCCCCATGTCCTACCCCGGGGGCTCCATCCCCCCCCGTTGCCCGTGTCCCGCCCCGGTACCTGCGTCCCATCCCGGTCACCCCCGCGGTCCTCCCGTCCCCCCCGTTTTTGCGGGACCCCGCAGCGCCCCCACCCCCGC